TGTGACCTTAAAATTGACCTTTGACCTACTTTTCACCATGAACTGAACTTTGCAAATTTTGGTTCCCTTTTATCTCCAAAGTTACACTGTATCAAAAAGTACATATTGGTGGTGAAAGCAAAATGTGCAGCACTGTAATGGATAATAAATTTTAAACTCCGGAAAAATAAAACATAAGGCTTGGCAAAGCAGACAACTTGTGGTCAAAAATGACATTATTTCATCAAATTTGAACATCTGGAACTCCAGAGCACCTCCCATTTCAAGAATTTTGACCAAAATGACCTTTTCTTTATTTTAATTAATTTTTTCTGTAGGACATTTATGGCACATTATGGTAACTCCAAATTTATAACATTAAGTCCCTTATATCTCCAAAACTGGCAGAGATAAGTCCATAGTTGCTATTGAAGTTGAATAGGAAGTCATATACTCGCAAACTGAATGTGACTTTAAAATTGACCTTTGACCTACTTTTCACCATGAACTGAACTTTGCAAATTTTGCTTCCCTTTTATCTCCAAAACTGGCAGAGACAGGTCCATAGTTACTGTTGAAATTGAATAGGATGTCATATACTGGCAAAGTACTGTGACCTTGAAATTGACCTTTGACCTACCTTACGATGAACTTAACTTTGATTGTACCATTTTTAGTCATATATATTTTTGGCATATTTTGAAAATTCTTGTTGATTGCATTTTTACAGCTTGTCAAGCACAAAACTGGTGGCTGTGTCCCTTATTTTGTGTATGTGGGGGTCTATACGAATGCGCTTGCTCCAGCCGGTGGTACAATTTTCGGAGGCTGAATCGCCTCTCTGATCCTCTAGTTTTTTAAGGTATTTCACAAGTGCCTGATTTTACAGACATGCTGAAAAATTCAGACCTGCAGTTATGAAAAATTAGCCAGACTGAAGGACATTAAGTTGGGGTGACTGTAAATTGTCTGTAAATTATGTTTTTTATACTGCATTTATAAACACTTTACATGTCTTTCAATGGCAATTCAGAATGGATGATACAAGTACTTACTGAGTCGCCGACTAAATATGGTTGACCATAGTTCAAAAGCGATGCCGCCAATTTTTGATAGTCTCACGCCTCCACACGCATGGTCGTTGGAGCAGATATTCAATCCATTTAAAGGCATGCGGAGTATGAGAGACCATCAAGAACCAATGGCATCACTTTTGAACTTTGGTCGGCCGTATTTAGTTGGCGGATCAGTAAGCACTCAGATCATCCATTCTGATTGGGGCCCAATAATTTTTACTTCCAGTTCCGCCGTAAGTCAACAGAGGGCGTTAACATGGGCATGTTCATCCTGATTGTGAGCGGCAACCTGCCCTATAGCAGCAGCATAATAATGAAGTCCACGGAGGAGGTGTTTATACTCCAACACTTACCCTGGATAGTAGGAAGCTATGGCATGATTCTCATTGATATCATTGTATCCTTGGAGTGATATTGTTTTATAATTGATGTTAGTAAGAACATTTCCATGCCCTTTACTGTGTGATCTATTTAACTGTGAAGGGTGGGGGCCAAAGGGATCTTGCAACTTTTTTGTTATTGATATTATTTTAAGGGATTCTTTTTGCATGATTCATATTTTCAAATCTAAACTTTCTCTTTCTTTTCAGTTCTCAATGTCAAACAGAATAATTTGCACTTTTAAACTTGTTTCAGGTCAAGCATTCAGTCATTGTTGATCTCCCCCCATCAAAGGCAGTATTCAGAACAGATGATTTGCAGGCAAACTGGGGCCCATTTCACGAAGCAGTAGTTAGTTGGAGATTGGTAGTTAGCCTCTCGCTAGTTATGAGAGCCGTTTCACGAAGCTATCATTAGTTCTCTCGCTCGTTATTGTGTCGTTGTTACCATGGATATTTAACGACTGGTCAGACCAGCTGCCGGAAATTTAAGAGTTAGTGCTTTCGGGACACTTTTATGCAAGAGTTCCACTTCCGTAAACTGTTTCGAGACTATGGTGAGTAACGAGAGAACTAACGACCGAACTTTATGACTGAACTTAGCGATGAGTTAACGACTGCTTCGTGAAACACCCCTAAAGTTTTCTCGTTAGCGAGGTAGTTCAGTAGTTAGTTATTCTTACAAACTACTGCTTCGTGAAACAGGCCCCTGGTCTGCAGATCAAATATGGTAGACCCCACTTGAAAGCAATACTGCTAATCCCCTTATGGTCTCACCGCCTACCCAGCTCTGCAGGGGCCTAGTAATTAAACTCCTAGGTTTGATTATTAGGACGACAAGAGTGGGAGTTAAGGGATTTGGCGGCATTGCTTTTAAAGGGGTTGGCCCTATTTGATCCCCATATCAGGAGGTCCACTGATGAACTTGTTCTGAAAACGCCCATTGTTCAGTTTCCACATCTTTCCTTGATTATGTCCTCAGACATTCTCTCAGTTTTACTATTACCGTGGCAACAAGGCAATACACCTGGATGAAAACACTGAGGATTATGAGAATGAATCAGAGAAACCTTTATTGGATGAAGATGAGCATAGTGTGGAATACTGATATTATTATGGTGCTAAAAGTTTTGGTTTTAGGTCTTAGAAGTATGAAATTAGCAGTATTTCATCAAAAGAAAAACATGGACTGGAAATTTAAAATTGTACTCATTGCTTTATTAATCTTTATGTACAGCTGCCATATAATTGTGATATTCAAACCTTTTATTAGATTAATTTCTTTTCATTCATTTATATGATAAAGTAGGGTTTAATGTAAATGATGCTGAAATCTGGCTAAAAGGTGTTTAAGAGACAATGATCATAATTCTAGACTGAAAGCTGTTTATTTTTCTGAAGCACTTTAAAATGTCATACAAACTGGGTGTTTTAGAGTCATTAAAATTATGTATGACTGATGCTTTACATCCCAGTGGAGCTCTATTTCTCATTGAATTTGAACAAAATTAGATGATATTAGTGATAAACAGGCATTCGTAACTTAGGTGGTTTTAATGTTTGACATTCCATTCTACTATGCACGAATGCAAAAGCTAATTAAAAAAAAATTTTTTTTTGGGGGGGGGGTGCAGAGAATGTTATGTATGGTAGTCAAGTTGATATTCTATTAAACTTGAAAAATATTTGTGTTCAGAAAACCGCAAACACTGTCAATCCTTTTTTTTCAAAGATTTCTCCCTTAGTTCAACTACAAATAGTTTATTATGGGAAAGGAAATCTTTGCTATACAGCAGTGAACTGCCTTAAATTATTGGAATGAGCATGATATTCATAGACCTATGGTAAATACTTCCAGAATTCAAACAAAATGGACATTTTTTCCAAAAAGTTGTTTTTTAAATAATACTCCAATACACAGATTCCTCCATGTTTCTTGGATTCCAGTTAGAGTATACTTTTTGTGGGCAGTTAAAAAAATGGAGTAAATAATTGTTTGAATTTAAGAAGTTATTACTATGCCTTTGATATTGTACCTTTTCAGAACAAACAAACAAACAACATAGTGCAATAACAATTTATTTCAGTCGGAGGGGGCTGGAAAAAAGGCATGTTTATAAAATAATTTTATTTTTTGGTATAGGTTTACTTACTATTGGAAAAAGAAAGAGATAAAACAGAAAGCATTTCAAGTTCAAAAAGTTATTTTTTAAGTCCTGTTTATTCTTATGGTAAAATCTGAAGGTGCTTGCTTGTGTTCACTGTAACTGTGTTAAAAATATTGAATACTATTTTAATGGGGAACATTTTAGGTGGCCTAAAATGAGGAAAAGTAGGGGAAAAAAGAATTTGTCAGGCAATACAATGTAGGTGGAGAACCAAGGGCAGCTGCACTTGAAACTCTTACAAGTAGTAGAAGATGAAATATAATTTATACATAGATGCCGATCATAGTATTTACTGCTTTAAAAAGTTGTATATGCTATGGTTATGTTGACAAAGTAATCAACAGTTGACAAATAAACAATAGAGTTATAGTCTAATCTGGCTGAAATGTCTTGATGTAGCAGTATTTTACCCTCTACCAGGGTGACTGATAAATTTTTACAGATATTCACAGATCTGTCTCTAGCTAGATAGATGGTCATTTTGGGCTAAAGTCACCCTGTTGAGAAATCCCATGTGGAAACAATTATCTCTGCGCGCGCGCCAAAGGCTTTGTACTCGCTCTGCATGAGCTGAGCTTCACAACAATGTGATAACTGCTCATTACGCAACCAGTCTAAGGCTTTTTATCTGTCACAGAAGAGCAAGTGATTAAAGTCAGAGCAATATTAAAACTGTCTTGATTGCTGTCACGCAGACTAAGACTGGACCTGCTTAGTGGCAGTGCCTGAGCAGTTATGCAGACAATTACCAGGCATGTAATCAGCCTTGAGATTTCTCAACAGGGTGACTCTAGCCCAAAATGACCATCTATCTAGCTAGAGACATATCTGTGAATATGGATCTGTAAAAATCTATCAGTCACCCCGGTAGAGGGTAAGCACTATTTCATCTCTGACAATTCACATACATCAGCTGTCAGAAAGAGTTACTGTATATTTGTATCCAGTGTGGGATGGATCTGCCACCTCAGACCATGTCATAGAAATAAAGAAATTGTGGTGGTAAACTGCAAACAAGTTACACATGCTACAATTCACTTCTTAATGTTTAAAAGCTGTTAGTATTTTATCTTAATTTTGTGATTAAGTTGTCTTCCCTTGAACTCAAATAACATGAACATATACCAATGAATGCTTTAACATTGCTTTGCTGAATGTATAAGTATATATATCACAGTAAGTTTATTCATGTCAGATCACCTATAGATCTTTAACAGTAAGGAGTAAATAAGTTATAATACTGATGCATCTATGAAGATCTATGAAGTCATTTTTTTCAAATGTCTATTTTTTTTTTTCAAAATCCCTGAAGAAGGCCTAGTAGATCTTCATAGATGCATCAGTCTTATACCCTATTTACTGTAAGTTTATAACTTGCTTGCTACATACAAGTAGTAGCAGATACATATACCCGAGGCTATAGTTTTGATATATGGTGTAATTATTGCAATTTTGACATCATCAGCATTAAATGTATGTCACTAAAACATGTCAACCATTCTTCATTTGTCCTATAAAAATGAATACAAAACAATGATAAGGTGAAATGACACAGTCGTGGAACTGTGCTTTGGTCTCTCTGGGATGTTCCCCATTTCCACTCCAAGTAATAAGGCAAGGCGATGTTAATGTTTTTGGTTTTCCAGTACATATAGATCTATAGCACTAAACCAGCATTTAAATTATTAGGTTATTTTATATCACTAATGCAGTGATGGTCACAACCCTTGTTATCCTTCACACATTAGTTTAAAAACATTTAAATGCCAAACTGATTAATATGCAGGGTTTTCATAAATGCGCAGTATTTGTCAGTATAGGGATGTTGTTGTTATTATTAATTAGTTACTATATAGTACTTATTTTATTATTTTTATCATCTGTTTTTTCTTATGAAATTTGCTGCTGAAATTTTAGCACTCTTTATGAGCATGAAGTGACGTGCTATTGTTAATATTATTATTTTGATTTTTAATTCTTATTGTATTATGGGTGCAGTTACATGTTATTATTATTATTAACAATACCATACAAGTGAGTTGCCCTTTAAGGGAGGTTTTCAAATTAACTGGGGGTTAAGTTGTTCAAGAAGCCAAGTCCAATCATGTTTTGAAAATAAGTTTATTAGGAGACTATGTGAAGTGAATAAATATACTAGTATTTTGCTGGATTGCTAGTAATTTAAAGATGTATTTTTGTCTAAGAAGGAAGTAATTTTTCTTCAGTAAGGAGCTAATATTGAAATTTTTATCCCAATATTTCAATGTCTGTCTAGAGCATCTTCATGAGGGAACGAGGTCACTCATACAACTTTTATTCTACATTTTACATTGTGACTTCTATGTCATACAATACTAACTAGTATGTGATTTCAAGATAATCTTTATTTCTAAGAACTTCCCATTCTCTCTCTCAGTCTCAGAGTTTTATTTGAAGCCATTTTTATAAACAAAAAGAGACATGATGAAGGAACTATGACATATTATATGTAAATACAGTGTTCATTTAATGTACCGATGGAATGTACACAAATCTATTCAAGAACACAATTTCTTGGTTGAGATAATGGTGCAGTACACTTGGAACCATACATTTGCATTCATTTAAACACATTGTACAACTAGAAGAAAATAAATCCACACCAGTCTCACAGATAAGAAAAAACTCTTACCAAGTGAAAGTTTTACAAAAAAGTCACAGAAGTGATGCTTGGTCTATACCAGTACATAAACAGTAGAAAACATTTTTTATTTAAAAAATTGCTCAAGGTAGATGCGGAGAGAAACAAGTGGTCACAAAACTAGCTAAACAAATGAATATGCTTATCACTGCCATTTTTGTTTGCAGCCATTTTGAACTCCAATATGACTAAAAAAAAAAGTGCAAAGAATTCTTCCCACACTCCCCTATCATAGGTGAAATTATTATTATGAGGAAAAAGATTTCAAGTAATATGCAGAAGGCAAAAGTAGTGAGCAAGGGAGGGTGTGGGGCAACCAGTGGGGAGTTAATCTATCAAGGTACATCGATTTGGATGTCCCTTTTCTGAGGGTAGAGGTTCTCCTGCCCAAGGTTTCTGCCATAGAGTGGAAATTTATCAAGCCACAACATGAAAGTGTCTGTAGGTCGTACTGTATCATCTACTAAAATAACACCATGATGTTTTCTTGTAAATTACAAAATGATAATAATAATGTATAAATAAAAGATCACAGTCATGGTCACTAAGGGAGTAATTCTGAAAAAAGAAGTCTCATAAAAGGCAAGGTGGTGGACAAGGGAACTGCCCTGGGATGCTGCGGCACACAGTGTAGAGTTAACTTCTCAAGATACACTGATATGGACGTCCCTTATCTAAGGGTGGAGATTCTCCTGCCCAAGGGCTCCACCATTGAGTGGAAATTTATCAATGCAGAAAATAGAACTGTCAGTCTTATTCACTAAATTAACTCAATAATGATCCCAGGAGAAAAGGCTTTGTTGTAAATTGCAAAGCAATATGATAATGAAAAAATAATAAAAGATAACAGCCATGGCCACAGAAAATGGTTTTAAAAAATAGCCTAGTAAAATACAGTGGTGGACCATGGAACTGCCCAGGGATGCTGAGAAACACAGCCATGGTACACTGATATGAACGTTCCTTATCTAAGGGTAGAGATTCTTCTGCCAAAGGGCTCCACCATAGAGTGGAAATTATTATCAATGCAGAAAATGGATTAGCCAGTCTTATTCACTAAAATAACTCAATAATGATCCTAGATTAAAAAGACTTTCTTATAATTTGCAAAGCAATATGAAAATGAAAAATTAATAAAAGATAACAGCCATGGCCACAGAAAATGATTTTAAAAAACCAGCCCTGTAAAATGCAAGGTTGTGGACCATGGAACTGCCCAGGGATTCTGAGGAACACAGCGTAGAGTTAACTTCTCAAGATACACTGATAAGGACATCCTTATCTAAGGGTGGAGATTCTTCTGCCCAAGGGCTCAACCATAGAGTGGAAATTAATCAATGCAGAAAAAAAAAGAAGTGTCAGTTTCAAAAAACCATAAATTGTGAAAGTCTATACTTAACCCAAAAAGTGGGTATTGGTAATTATTACTTTGCATGTCATGCTTTATTTGGAATGCATGTGCAATGTTTTAATTTGATATATATAAGCATGGTAGCCGTCAGGTTGCATGTCAATTATCATATCATATGTAAATAAAAATCAATCATAAAAGACAAGGCAGAGTCTCACAAGATAGACATAGGTAGAGGGACAGATACACTGACACTTGCAGAGACCTGAATCTTGTACTAAACTGTACAATTGTAGCAAACCATCACCTGGATAATTGGTGAAAGTAATCCTTAATATAAGGAAAACATCTTAAAGGCAAAAGTAGTGGGCAGGGGAACTGTCCTTGGAGGCCAGGACACATAGTGGAGCAACCACTTCCTCAATGCAGACCTACTCTTACCCAAGGGATCCACGTTTGAGTGGAGGTACAATGGCTGTAGGCAGGGGAACTGTCCTTGGAAGATGGGACACACAGTGAGACAACCACATCCTCAATGCAGACCTACTCTCACCTAAGGGATCAGCATTTGAGTGGCGGTACAATGGCTGTGGGCAGGTGAACTGTCCTTGGAAGCTGGGATACACAGTGAGACAACCACCTCCCAATGCAGACCTACTCTTACCTAAGGGATCAACATTTGAGTGGAGGTACAATTGGCTGTGGGCAGGGGAACTGTCCTTGGAAGATGGGACACACAGTGAGACAACCACCTCCTCAATGAGGACCTACTCTTACCCAAGGGATCCACACATGAATGGTGGTACAATGGCTGTGGGCAGGGGAACTGTCCTTGGAAGATGGGACACACAGTGAGACAACCACCTCCTCAATGCAGACCTACTCTTACCCAAGGGATCCACATCTGAGTGGCGGTACAATGGCTGTGGGCAGGGGAACTGTCCTTGGAGTCTGGGACACACAGTGGGACAACCACCTTCCCAATGCAGAAAGGGATAAAGACAGTAACTAGGCTGTTCTTCTTGTTCATGTCTTCCATGTAAAATTTCAGAATGGCCTTCCAGTTGGTCTGTTAACTTAAGATGCTTTGATTGTCATCCAAGGCGGAAATCAATAATTCACTTTTCGATCAGTGTCTATAAAAGAGTTCTTATGACGTTCTATACTATAGTGGCAGTAGTTCCATTGTGGTAGCAATCCTGGTCCCAATTTCATCAACACTAGACAGCACTATCCTCTGTGTCATTAAGCCTGACATGACAAAAAATTTGGCAATCACATCCAGAGTCAGAGATCTATGTACTAAGTTTATAGCATCATCAATTCTATTTTAAAAATATATGTGGTCATTCTACGAGAATTTCTGTTGCCAAAAGAAATCTGAAAGAAAAAAGTATTAGTTCATACATTAAAACCACAGCAGAT